TGAAACTTCAATGAATCCTTGCTGAGCCTTGGCCCGTTATGTAACGGACATTGTCAGAGCAGGACACCATGATTAAGGATAAGTCACCAAAAATACGAAGACAAGATGGGTGGTCGGCTTCAAACCTACTTCCTTTTTATATTTAAATTTGTTCCATCTATGCATCTATTGTTTTAGTTGGATGTCCTATGCTTTGCCTTAATATTTGCTCATAAGTTAAGTGGCTACGGATGGAATGTGAAGTGGCTATAGATGAAACTTGAAATCGGTGCGATTGAAATCAAACAGATGCATCCTCCCATAAAGCACTTATGCCTTTGATCCTGCAATGTTACTGAATGTGATTGCGTCCCGTTGCACATGTGTTGTGTGAGTGCATTGCTCTTGAAATGAGTGCGATGCGAGAGTCAAAACCGAATTCCAGCCTAATCAAGCCTCTTGCTCGATAGTACTTCTCGTTCCCCTTCCTCTCTCTCTAAACCTATCCAACAACCACAAGTAGTTTCTGCTTAACTCATTCCTTTTTTTAAGGTCGTTGGCTCTTTTGTTGATTTCCATCGCCTTCCTAATCTTTCGCTTACTGGTATAGTCTTCATATCAACTAAGCGTTTCGTTAGACAAATCTATCTGGTGTCCTGTGCGAGCCATGTGTTGGGCCAATTACGATTTTTGGATGACAGGTAAAGATTGTTTTTTAATATTACAGCAATTTTTTACGTCAAATGAACATGATCTTTCTTGAGATATAAAAACCATGTTTGAGGAGTAATTATCACAGCTAATTAACTGGTTTGTGAAATATTTTCAAAATGAAAATTTCGATAAGTTTGCATGGATACAAGATCCATTTAACACTAGTATTCCGTATGAATTTACTTCGACAGAAGAAGAGAATCTTATCGAGTTATCTTAGGATAACAGTTTAAAAGCAAAATTTGGCTGCATGTAATTGACAGAATTTTGGATTTTAATAAAGGATGAATATCCCCTTCTAAGTGATTAGGCTCAGCTAATTCTAATTCCATTTTCCACTTCGTATTTGTGCGAAGCTGGGTTTTCTGCGGTCGTTGTAATAAAAAGCAAGTATAGAGCAAAAATCAACGTGGAAAATGAAATGAGGAGGGCCGTGTCCAGTTAAATTCCACGATTTGAGAAAATGTGCAGTGATTTGCAGGCTCGTTTGGCAATGCCAAAGTTCAAAGTGGTCTCTACTCACAGATTTAAAATTCCCCAATCTACCTTTTGTTTTTGCGTTGTTCCCCTTTCTTTCCATTGACAAAAGTTGCTGCTTTTTGAGTTTTTTGTGTGCTTTATTTTACTTATGATTGTTAATTCTAAAATCTTTGTCTCACGTGATTTTTTCATATGACTTCTCTTTCATATTTCCTTCCCTTTTCTTCCCGCCACCTGATACCATAGGAGTTAGATGTTTCTGCGACCTCTCAGCTCTGGGACGAATTTAACAGAATCCGAACGGCCAGCGACGTCGATGTCGAGGATGATGATGAGCTTTTGGACGACGATCTAGACGACCTTGAGACAGCAACTGCAGCCGGCGTTGAAGGTGATGAGTATGAGGACTTCTCGGAAGGCAGTGATGCAACCAACAGTGTTTCTATACAGAGCACCCCTCGCCCTACTCTACGGCCTTTCTTCCAGCCCATAGGCAGTTCTGAAGACAACACGCTAAATGTGGTGAGTGAGGCAGCCTTTTAGATGGGTTTTTTTATTTATCAACTTTTTGCACAATTCCAACACGTTATTAGTCTCACGATAGCCTATAATATATGTGATTTATCTGGATTTAAAAAAACCATTTTAGCCTCTTGGTGAATCAGAAATCTCAAAGTTTTGATTGGTCTCTGTTTATGAAGTTTTTTTGAGATTGTCCAAAACAGTTGTAAAATGTCATTCCTAACCTCTACTTTCTGCGACACCGCTATTGATTTATTTTATTTTGTTGAAATTTTTATTTTTAAGCTAACTTAAAATTATTGGTAAAGCTTCATCGTGTATCATCGTAACTGTTCTTTCTGCTGGTGGTAGAAAGATTCTTGGGATCATTCCAATCTCGATTTCAATTTCTAGGGGAACTTGTCGGAGATATTACTGGCCTCCACAATGATGTCTTCTAAAAGGTTTTTTAAAAGAAAAATTCAGTCGTTTATTCAGGCTCATAGTGGTTTAGGGATCAACTTTATCTCAATCTTCTTACTTCATGTTAACCCTAGGTCAAGAATACTCATCTGTTTTATATGCTTATAAGTAAGAAAAGTAAATTTATGGGCACAGATTGATTTATATTGGTTGGTTAATTATCCATTATATTGATTTGGGCTGACCTCGTTGTCGCAACTTGGTATTGTTGTCAGGGCGACTTAGTAGAAGGCACCTAGTCCGAAGTCGTCTGCCATAGTAGTTGTCATGATTCCCAGCATCAGAT